GAGACCACCGTTAGACGACGGCTCAGGAGTCGGGATTGACAGCAAAGAGGCGTGTACGTAGGCCAGCTCTGCGGCGAAGACATATTAAAGCCCGTTTGCATTTTCACAACAAGTATAAGGAATGGACTCTGGAAGATTGGAAAAAGGTTATTTGGTCAGATGAATCGAAAACAAGCCGAATCTGCTCTGATGGCGCGCAGTGGATCTGGGACGCACTCCGAGACGCCTCACTCGCAGGTCGGTGTAAGGCACTGTCAAGTTTGGAGGTGGTAACGTTAAAGTGTGGTCATGCTTCTCAGCTGTTAGTGACGCCCATGGTTGGAATACTATCTATTGATGTAAGGATATGGCTTACAAAAGAATAAAGATCTTCGGCCATCGAATGAGCACATGCAAAACTGAAAGAGAGACGTGCATGAACAAAAAAGTCATTAACTTTCTAAATGAGACAAGCTAATGCCACAGCGCATAACTATGACGTAGAAGAAGACGGGAGCTTTATTAAACCAAAGTGTGAGTGGTGTATGCATATACGGTTTCTAGGAATGAGAAAAAGAAATGGACATGGGAATGAATTATACTTTCAGTTTTGCATGATAGTGTATTAACAAGGTATCACTGACCGTTGATGGCTGGACAAGCCCTTTCCAAGACAACTTCCTGGGGGTAACAGCTCACTGGATTTATCATGACTGGCGCCAACAAGAGCTGGTCATTGGATTTGAGCCATTGTATGGAGCGCATACAGGTGAGAACTTAGCGGAATCTCTGGCTAAGGTCATCGATCGATTTAAAATTGGTGACAAGCTTCTAAGTATCACCACCGACAATGCGTCAAATATGTCCAAAATGATCCGAGAGCTAGAAAAACATCCCAAGGCAGTAGAATGGTAATTCTCAGTCACTTTCAATAATGCTAGCGCATCTACAGTGGTCATCTGTAAATAGTAACAATCAAAGGTGATCTTAGGTGGAATCGAAGGTCAAAGGATACTTTAATTGGCTATAACGTAGTGGACTATTTATACTGATAATTGATAGGGTTGGGGCTTGGTGTCTTGGCACTTGGGCTTGGCGTCTTGGCGTCTGGGGTGCGCGTGATAGTTGAGCCCTCCTCAAAGGTTTGAGTCAGTATTGTATAACACGTTTGCATCATCAAAAGTCATTCAATGATTTTGAATTTTTAACATTCTCATTCCTTTTCTTCATTCTCATCTAGCATGTGGCTAGTATATTTGGGGTAGTGCATTTGTTCCCCACACCTCATGATTACTTTCATGTCTCATTCCTAATTATGACTTCATTGTGAAATAAAACCAATTTCAATTTGACCTGCCTATTGAATGACTTCTGCTGAATTTCAATGTTGATTGCAAAAAAAACTTTTTCACTTCTCTTTTTTCTACCAAGATTACCTTCAGCTATATCTTCATACACCTCTACTTACAATTAACATTCCACATCGTTTAGTATTTATTATGAGGACGCTTTCTAGGGAAAAGGTACAAAATGCTCAGGCCTTACTTCGACAAGGGAAGTCTACAAGCGAAGTGGCAAGGCAACTTGGTATCTCTATTTCATCGGCAATAAGGATCAGGAGGGACGTCAAGGACAATATTCCTAAACCCAGAATGGGCAGACCCTCATTGGTTTCCCCTGCTACCAAGAGGGTTATTGCACGCGAGGTTGATAGGGGAAACTTAGATCCATTCTGGCAGTTCAAGAATACATCAGATCGAGCCATGGAGTGCATGTCAGTGCAGAGACTGCCCGACGCTATGTAAAATCAGAGGGTTTGAAAAACTATGGCCGCCCATTCAAGCCTAGGCTGACAAAAATGCAGATTGCGAAAAGGAAAAATTTTGCCCTCAACCACCTTGACTGGACTGTTGATGACTGGAAGCGAGTGATGTTCTCGGACGAAAAGCTTTTTGGAAGGCTAGGGTCCTTAGGAGGAAGAACACAATATAGGCGACCCGGCCACAGGACTTTAGAAGATCAAGATGTTAGAGAGAGATCAAGGAGAGCACATAACAAACTTATGTGGTGGGGCTGTATCACTTATCATGGTGTAGGCGATGGTTGCAGGATCCCTGTCACAGTTGATTCCTCTTTATATGTTGATGTTCTACAAGATTATGTCCTCGGCTCATGGAAGTGGTATGGCCAGGACCCTGAAAAGTTAATTTTTCAGCAGGACAATGCAAGTGTTCATACGAGTAGGATGGTTAAAGAGTTCTTAATTAAGTCACACATTACCACTTTGGAGTGGCCTCCAGATTCTCCTGACCTCAACCCTATCGAGAATGTATGGGCCTACATGGATCATCGGCTCAAGGGATATGAGAAGGTACCAAAGGATCTGGATGAACTATGGGAAAGACTACAGGATATCTGGACATCTATTCCACCTGACTTCCTTGATGAGCTATATGAAAGTATGCCACGAAGGGTAGAGGAGCTACATCGCAAGAAAGGAGGTCGTACACATTACTGAAGAACAGAAAAAAAAAACAAATAAAGCAAAGCTCCCGATTTTCTTCAAATGGCATTCAATGAGATGCCAATAATTGGCATTCATCTAAATTTTCAATTAGCAACAGGAGCTCATTGACATTGTAGTAGGAGTGACATTGTCGATGGTCGAACTCGCTACGTAAGTTTCATTAGCGACAAGCAAGATCAAATTGGAGAAAGGAATGAGAATGTCGAAATTCCTAATTCATTGAATGACTTTTGATGACCACTGTAGTAATGAGTTATCTCTAACGCTTCTCTTAAAAAAAATAAAAATAAATAAAAATAAAAAACATTAGGCCGCTCAAGGATGGCTTATACCATGTGCCATGCCTTGGACGCATCATTAATCTGGCAGTTCAGGCGATTTTGGGCCCAAGTGGTTTGAATGACTTGGCTCCTGAAAATGACAGTCTCTACGTGAACAACAATGAGTGTGAGGATGCGGTTGGGTTAACACTTGTAACGCTGAGTACATTACAGAAACTCAGAAAAGGCATTGTTAAGATCAGGTCAGTATTACTCTATAATCTTTGCACCATATAGACCCATATAGCGTATACGATGATTTAATTTACCACTCACGTGGGGCAGACGATATCTTATAGTATATAAGATGTCGTCTGTCCAGAAATAAAGACCCCTCTCTTTGTCCTATTGAACTTTGGTTCCATATACATAGTAAGCTATATCAATTAGGCTAAAACATTGCATTCTTGTAGCTGCGCAGACACAATTGTAGAAGCCAGACTGATTGCACGAGCCTCCTTATCTTGACTCAATCTCGATATATCCTCTACTTCTTCTACGTTATTTTTAGATGGTGCGAGAGCATTCCCATAGGTGCTGTCTTCACCGGATGGTTCAACTGGCCCCCACACTATTTCTGGCTCGGAATCTGACACATCCGAAGAATAGTCTCCACCATCATCACAGTCGTGCTCTTCAGGATCCGTATCAACGTCGCTAGCTTCATCATGATTGTAGAATTCGGAGCCTAGCTCAAGGTCTTCAGCTGCATCCTCACCGTTACTCGAAATTAAGGTATCAGTGGTGAGGACCTATAATTTGCATCAAGAAAAATAATTAATTATAAGCTAATCGAAATAGCTAGCATGTTCGTGATATTTATAAATACCATTGTGGACGGCTAATATTATCTATCTCAGAGAGGAGGAAGACAGAGAGTTAGAAATGAAGTAGGCTAATTTGAATTTACGCGTTTTTTTTTTTTTTTCTTTTTTTTAAAAAAATAAAAAGGTTACCTGGGACAGGAGATGGACTACAGAAACACGAAAAGGGCCTGAATGGAGTCTGCAGGAGAGCGATCCTGACATAAATAAAATAGTAATGAGCGATGGAATAGGATTAGATGGCGATTGTGATTCGGAAGAAGCAACTGGCAGAAAAGGGTGGATTTAGCAAATAGCCTACTACGTCACCTCATTATAAATTCTAACAAAAAAATACCACTACGCAACTTGAGTATTTAAGGGAATTCTTGCTAGGTCAAAGCGTACCACGGAAATGATACATATATCCTAGGATTTTTTCGGACTTAGACCTTCCTTTTTTAGTCTAACCGTTCGGATAAATTATTGGTAATCTATACTTAGATTCATTTAGATCTTACGTCATGACTGACTCAATCTGAAACAATCTAGGAGTTTCCGGATGAGACCCGATTTGGATAATGATTCCTTTTTGGGTTACCGTTCACCCTCTCTCCCGAGAGTCCGGAATTCCCTTAGATGTGATACCATTAAGGGTGATAATAAAGGCGATTTTAATACGTCATACTTTTTTTTTTTTTTTTTCACGCGTTTGCACAAAAACGATCTTGATATCAATTCTTCTTATATACCTCTGTCTCTCCAGGTAAAAATCGTTGATAATATTCAGCTCGCAAACTGTTGCCATTACGCGTCGAATGTTGAATGAACTCTGAATGTAAATCAACATGTGTATTATTTTAGATCATTTCATCGAACAAGCATTATGGTGCGGAGGCTATGTTACCTTATCAATAATAAATATTTGCACATATATTAATCACCTCTCGGTTCTCCTTGACCTTGTCAAGGACTGACAAAGGGTTTGCAAGGAAAGGTAAGTGAATGAATAACAAGAATGATAATGAGCTGAGAACTAGAATGGATTCACGAATAGTTTTATTGCAGACTGAGGTTTACTATGTTACAAATCTATCATATTTATACTTGTTTGACTGAAGCGGAGACGCGCTTCAAGAACTCTAAATAAAGCTTACTCAAATATTTCCTAAGGACTTTTACCATATGCGGAACTCCAAGTGTTGAGTTAACTTAATACACAGGATCCGAGGAAGATATCTGGTGCAATCTTATTTCAAGGTTCCTTGGCACTATAAGCCTTGGTTATTGGTTTATAGCTCTTCTAGAATCCTTGGAGCTATTCACGGAGCTAGAAAACTAGGAGACGCGACTTGGCTTGACAGGCAAACTATGCATGGAGGAATGAGTGAAGGAAATGAGCGGAACAAATTAATCAAGCACACGTGATCTTTTTCAGATTCGAATCAGACAAAAGTCATTCATCAATTCATGAGCTAGACATTGCTTGCTGTTCGTGACAGACCTTGCTTTCTGTGTAGAGTTCAGAAGTTATTGAGGATAGTCTGTTGGATGATGTAGATGAAATAGATCGCGCTGATGATCTAGAAGAATTCGATTCTGACTGTGAGCATGGGAGCGAGGAATCAGACTCTGACCGGGACTCGTGGAACGTTGACTACAATGACTATTCGAGTGGGGCTTCGGATTCCGACCCAGAAATAGAGCCTGAATCATCTGCAGCTCCTGTTGAAGCCATTAGCATCCATCCTTCTGCGGATTTTGGTACCGGGGAAAGCTCACTCATGCCGGGTGGCTCAGAGAGTCCAGAACTAGACGAGAGTGTCATTGCGAACGCCAATGAAATAGCAACTGAGATTTTGTGCTCGGAGGTGCATGATTACCAATGGATTAAGTCGACTCTCGATGATGAAACGATCAAAGACATTGTAAACGACTCCCGTACAGAACCGTATGACTACCTGCCCCGTATTTTTTACGTGAACGAGGAGGACTTCAGCGCTTGGCTTGAACAGGATAGTCTCGATCATTATTTTGTTTGGATGCGCCGTGTACATCGAGATAATAAGGCAGATGGCAGAAGCAAATACTTTTATTTTCAAACCCACGAATGCCACCGTAACCATGACTCGCGAGGCCAAAATCGCGTTCAAACCGCTCAACAAGACTCCCCTCAAGACTCCTCTCAAGATTCCCCTCAAGACCCTGGGCAGGAACAAGGAGGCGCGTCTTTAAGAAGAGCCAAAAAGTTGGATGTAGAGCAAAGCTTCTAGTCCACAATGCAAGCGAAATCACTATAATAATTTTGTGCAACATAGTATTTCGCCCATATTTCTAGAGCATTCCTTGCAACAGGATATTAACTAGTATAAATAGGTCTACTTTTCTATCTAGTTCTGTAGCATAGTTCCCCCTGAATAAAGATACCTTTATTGCACCCTTAGATCCCCCTAGAACACTACCTTGATTTTTGCATTGGTAGCAAAGGAAACCACGACCACACCCAGAGAACTACAATTACCATTGAATTTCACCCCTCGCCATGGAACACTTGAATAACGCCCTTTCGTCCATCGATCTTCCTCTGAACATTCGCGAAGCCATAGCTACTGCTTTTAATCAGGCCCTCTCTACTGCCAAAGCCAACGAAGCCGCTGAGAATGACCTAGCCAGAACCCTCGCCACGGTCCTAAAGCCACAGAAGCCTACGCCTTACGAAGGAGCTATTAACGCTGTTGCAGCCTTAAACTTTGTCGACAGCCTGGAGGAGTATTACACTATTGTCACACTCACGCCATCCAAATGGGTTCGATACGCTGTCCTCAGTCTCAATGGCGAAGCCAAGGCATGGTGGAGAGATTCCGGGTTGAATCTCGATACACCTTGGGCTGACTTCCGTAAAGCATTCCTCCGTCAGTTCACCCCTCCAGATTCTGCGAATGCAGCTCGCCGAGCGTTGGATAAACTTCGTCAGGGAAGGATGAGTGTGGCAGAATATACGAGCAAGTTTAGAAGCCACCTACGTCTGGCTACAAATCTCGACAAAGACTCTGCTTTGCAAAAATACATGCTAGGCCTTGAGCCCGAAACAAGCAAGCAGGTAAGACTTAGACAGCCAGAGACGTTGGACGATGCCATTGAGCAGGCGACCATTGTCCACAGTATTCTACATCCCATCGATGCCACCCCTGTATCCGCTACCCCGAACGCCTTATCACCCCATCATGAGAATAATTCTGGCCCTACACCAATGGATCTCGATAACATGAGAATGTTGGTTGCCAACCTGTACACCTCTCTCCATCAGCAACGACCAAACAGAAACCACTCCAAGCCAAGCTCGCTACCCAAGCTCACAGCAGCTGAACGAGAACGTTGCGTTCGTGAGGGGCGTTGTTTCAGATGCCGGAACCGAGGTCATAGAGCCGAACAATGCCAACGCACCTCTGTCTTTAATATAGAAAACAATGACCATACGCTTTCTGAGTCGGGAAAAGAGGAGGGCGAGCAGTAAACCAGGCCTGCCTCGCCCCCTCTAGCCCCAGCCTTCAAGCCCTGGATAATAGAGGGCATGGTCAGTTACAGTTGATGACTACAAATAAAAATCCTTTGTGCACAAATATAACATCCATGCCCCTTTCTGATCACTCTATTGCTCCCACTGCATCTACTTCCTTACATCTACTCTCTAAGTATTCACCTCATCCTGATCCCCATTCCCCTACTCATTCCTCATTGCTAAAAAACAATCCCCTCTCCGACCCTATTTTCCCCTCCACTGATCCTTTCACTGTTTCCACTTCACTCACTTCCACTCATTCATCTACCCCTAGTTCATCCAATCGCCACTCCCATTGTCGTAACGAAATTCGCCTTCAATCCTTCAGCCTTACCTATGACAAACATAAAAACTCTCGCCGACTCCTTACTTTCATTGGAGCAGTGAATGGTCGACCTGCGCGCATTCTTGTAGATGGAGGGGCCGAAGGCAATGTCATAAGTTCCTCTTTCTGCGAGAACACACATGTTCCGCTAATTGAGGGTAGACCCATTCCTGTCATTCTTCCCAACGGTACCGAGACAATTGCTCAGCACACAGCCACGTTCACCCTCGCCCGCAACGCGTATCAGGATAAAATCAACGCCATTGTTTATCCTCTATCCAAATACGACCTAATTTTGGGTAAACCATGGCTGATGGATATCAACCCTCGCATCAATTGGCGAACAAATGATCTGCATTTTGAATACCAAGGTACCCCGGTCTTGTGGCCTTGCACTGGCATCGACAGGAAGCCTAGACAGCGATCTTCCGTCATATCTGCTCTTAACTTCCTTACCGTTGCCTCGGAACCTGATGCCTCTGTATTCCTCGCCCAAGTTCGAGTTCCAGTACCTGTCTCTAGCAGTAGTTCTGAACTACCGGACTCTATCAAGCAAATCGTTCAAGTCGAATTCCCTGATGTCTTTTATACAACGCTTCCTGATGGCCTTCCCCCTGACAGAGGTGATAGCATGCGTATAGAGACTGACCCTTATGCTGACCCACCTGTCCGACCTGTCATCAGATTGTCGATCGCTGAGCTTGATGAACTGAAGAAGCAGCTAACTGATCTTTTACAAAAAGGATTAATCTCACCGAGCACCTCACCATACGGTGCTCCAGTCCTCTTTCTGAAGAAAAAGGATGGTGTCACGAACAGCAAGCAATGTCTAGCTCATGAATTGATGAATGACTTTTGTCTGATTCGAATCTGAAAAAGATCACGTGTGCTTGATTAATTTGTTCCGCTCATTTCCTTCACTCATTCCTCCATGCATAGTTTGCCTGTCAAGCCAAGTCGCGTCTCCTAGTTTTCTAGCTCCGTGAATAGCTCCAAGGATTCTAGAAGAGCTATAAACCAATAACCAAGGCTTATAGTGCCAAGGAACCTTGAAATAAGATTGCACCAGATATCTTCCTCGGATCCTGTGTATTAAGTTAACTCAACACTTGGAGTTCCGCATATGGTAAAAGTCCTTAGGAAATATTTGAGTAAGCTTTATTTAGAGTTCTTGAAGCGCGTCTCCGCTTCAGTCAAACAAGTATAAATATGATAGATTTGTAACATAGTAAACCTCAGTCTGCCATAAAACTATTCTTGAATCTCCTAAGTTCATTCTTGTTCCTAAATCACTTACCTTCTCTTGCAATCGTCCTGTCAGTCCTTGACATTAATACAAAGTAATATGGCAAATGTAATCAATATATACTTCTTCTTCTTCCTCCTCGATAATTCGACGACTTCGTTTACTCATTTTAAGAGATGTTTTGGGCTTAATTGAGATAATGCATGAAAAGGAAAAGAGAGAAAAAAAAAAAAAAAAAAAAGGAAAAGGAAAGGAAATGAGGCGAACTGAAGCGAATGCAAACACATTTGTTGTCCTGATGCCGCAGTTGAGTATTTAAGTATAACGCACCAGATATCTCGCACTCGTTGTTAGGCTTTATTTTCTATAAACATGTGTTTTAACCTTATCTTCATGGTAATATTTTTCTTAATCCACGATTTAAATCCACATTTTGATTAAGAGTGCCGTGAGAAAAAATTTATAAAGATTTTAATCGGTTTATCAATGTACCGAATGATTCGGTATATCAAATGGATTGAATCGGTACAATCGAAGCACCGAATGTTCCGGTTTACCGAATGCATCGAATATTCGATACATTCGATTCGGTTTCGACAATATATATTCATTCGGTTTCGATTCGATATGAACCTTACCTTGGTCAATTCGATTTCGGTTCGAAGGTGTATTGAATCGAATGTACCGATTAGGAGCACTGATTCATTGAATGACCTTTGATGGCCACTGTATATCCAAAAGTCTATGATACCTCTCATGAACAGGCCAGCAAACTCTCCTGACAGCAACCCAATAGAAAACATATGGGCATACATGAAGGTGCAGTTGGATCATTATCCAGACAAGGCAAAGAATATGGAGGATCTCTGGGAGAGAGTCCAAGACGTATGGACACATATCCCTCCTGAATTCTTACACAAACTATACTGCGGTATGCCAAAGAGGATGAGGGAGTTATATAAGGCTAAAGGAGGGAACATCGTTAGGGGAAAAGAGAAGTAACAGGAATAAATAAAAACAAGAAGTTGTTAAGTGCCATAATAGATGCAATGAGATGCTGAAAGCAAATTGCAATTAAATGCTAATTAGGCCACTGATGGCGATGACGATGAGACTCCATGGAGGTGAGACAAATGAGAATGAGAAACGGTGGTGGCAGGGAGGATCATAAAGAAGAAGAAGGAGAATGAGGAATGAATGTTGAAAAATGCATTTTATTGCATCAGTTTTGGCACGCACTATAAATATCTAATTAACTTTGAAAGTGCATTTATTTTCATTACACATTTATCACAAAAGGCTGTAATAAAGCTGACCATTTCAAGCTACATTTAAATGTAATGTACTAAGTGCTCAAAGTCCCCAATATACAAAGTAACAGCTATTCAAACAGATCTGCAAAATTATAAAGCCTATGTCAACAAAATGGGACGTCCGTACAATGTTGGTAAAAAAAATAGAATTGCTGTTAGACAGTCAACAGCTCATTGTCAATTCTTTGACTATTGCCACTCTTGTCCTTCCAGTGAGCACTCATCTTCACTGTATCAAAACTCCTATCGTGCCAGAAATGCACCAAATTCACCCCTTGGTCCAGTTCCGCGTCGGTTTGCCAGTATGGGTGCTCAAGGTAGTCGTCCTCCCGAGTAAAATGAACAACCCAAGCTTCTTCTGCTGAGAGTAAGCGTTTATAAGTTGGCGTCTTGCTGATACAGTCCTTAATAGAAGATTGACTTCCTGTAGCCAAAAGCTCGATAACAACCGTCGGCTCTCCTGCTTTCTTGATGACAATATCACTATATTTGTGGTCCTCAAGCTCATGGAGGTGCCACTGGCTAATGATCCCATATCCTTCTATTTTGTTTAGCCAGTTGGTGAGAATCCTCATCAATTCCGTGTCATAGACGCTCTCCCGGAGGACTTTGGCATTGTATCCACCCATAACCTTAACTGTTCTCCCCGATCTTTTGTATGATCGATATTCCGACTGTATAATCAAGTTTTTATCGAAAAATCGAAGAGCAATCTTCATAGTCTCCAGAATATCCAATAATCCTCCTTGACTTTCCTTTGGGGGGTGACTCCGAAGGAGCGTGGGGATATTTTGATGAATAATATATCTCCTCACAAACGAGTCAATGAATGCTGAGGCCATACGGTAGTTACTGCCATCAAGTCTTATCAGCACCCCTTCTGCAGTTAGGAAGTCTGCCAATCTCTGTTGTTCCATGTCTGAGATAGATATATCGCCGAGATACCCAATAAAATCTGTTCGGAGAAGTTAACAGCATCTGTAGCTGATTCACTCAAAAGTGAATCGACCATCCTTCTAAAAGTATGGTCGAAAGCATCTCTCATCTGATTGTCTGTGGAGAAGTCCTGCCATGTATCGTAATCGAGACAATTCGTCGAGTCGTTGACTTTCGAGCGAAGATCTCATGAATGGAGCGTCCACAAAGACAAATCATTCCTGGATGACTATTGACATTGAGCACAATTCATTGTATTAGAATGGCACATCAACTCGTGGAGAGTTAACTAAGCTTAAAAAACATACCCATTTGACTTCCAGTGTATGTCTCGAATAATCTCATCATCTATTTTAATCATCTCATCTTCGCATAGTCATTAAAGAGCTGCTGCGTTTGATCAAGAGTGAAATACGGGTTCCTGATAGTATTGTTGACATTGAACGGGGTATGTGTTGACCTGTTGTGCTAAGGTGCTGAAGACTAAAGGTTCCACATAAGACAATACTGTCAATGGCGTATAAATGGTTGTTCTGTCGGATTGCTCGAAACGCCTGTAAGCATTGGTTGCGGATCTCGTCGCTTGCGTTAAACAGTAAATCAAACTCGTCAACCAAGATGACAATCTTCTCGTCCTTGAATTTAGTTCGACCGAAAGCATCGAGAAAATCTCGTTTGGTTGTAATATCATCGACTTTATAGTTGCGGCGAAGAGCATTTCCAAAAGTTTTCCAGAAATCAGGCTCATTATTGCCAACGGCAACTCCCTCAAATGATAGTCTAAATAAAAAATAGAGGGTCAGTACTGGTATATTAGCGCATACATTGCATCCACTTTATCCATTTTCACAGAAGTTGGCTTACGGGAGGCAGCGATATCCAAAGTCAGCTAATTGGGTGATAAGTCGATACAACCGTGTTGTTTTTCCAGAGGCACGTGCGCCTATGAGCATCACTATCTCGCGGTCAAAAACGCCCTGTAGTATTTCCTCATTGTTGTCATGGTCCGCAGGATCCACATAGTAGACCTGATTAACTTCGTCGAATCTGATCGGTTCATTGACGGTCCACCTCTTTTTTTTCAAAAGTCGCGGTACTGAAAAAAATTAGAAAAAAAAAACAGCAAGACCTGTCAGAAGAGAAAATAAGGAATCGGTTCCAATCCTTAAGGGAGAATTAGCTTACATAAGTCTTCGGCCCTCCTCTTTTTTTCCGAGTCTGTTGGTAAAGGAAGCAATGATAGAAATTTGCAAGAAAAAAAGAAAATAAGCATCAGAGGAAGTCGTCAAGCACATGTGCGATGATTAACCTTATGAAAAAAAGAGAAAGCCAATTAAACAAATGAGTCTTACTCGAAGTGGAAGTAGACGGATCTATACCGCAATAATGCGAAGGATCATTAGACATAATCAATGATTACAACAAGCGTCACCACATGGCATGCCGCAGTAACAGGCACAATTAGAATTTAACGGCTTCTTACCTGCCGACGGCCTCTGGACAATGACGTGTATGGTTTTCTTTTCTGGTGTAGTGCCGAAAATCTCAGAGATCTTGCTTGTTGCACAAAGCTTTTTTGCATTTGGGTGTTCTGAAAGTGTAATGGTTTTTTCGTCCTCATCGTCTCCGATTACGATGGAGACATGCCAGAGATTCAATTTGTCGGCAACAATCTCTCGGAAGTCGTTTTCTTTTTCCTTCTTGATTGCTTTTTTGAGAGCAGCAATTGAGTCATCAGCATCCAATTGGACTTTAAATGCGGAAGAGTCGCCATCGAGAATGCAAAAGAGCATAATTTTTTGAGTCATCTTGGTTTAATTGCGCACTGAAAAAAAAAAAAAAAAAAAAAAAAGTAATTGGCAGTAAACCAGCAGAGAGCTAGTTTGATTAAAGTGAACTGAGCAAGAATGTTGGCGTTAATGTGAAGATTGAAAGAGAAATGCTTAGAGGAAGAGGGATGAAAGAAAAAAAAGATGGATGCGTGAGAAAAAAAAAAAAGAGTGGCAATAGGATGTGCTCACTAAAAATAAAATTACGTACACACGTATGGGGGCAAACTTAAGCCACTCCGTTTGTTTTTATTCCTCATCCATCATACGAATTCCCTTAAATACTCAAGTTGCGTAGTGGTATTTTTTTGTTAGAATTTATAATGAGGTGACGTAGTAGGCTATTTGCTAAATCCACCCTTTTCTGCCAGTTGCTTCTTCCGAATCACAATCGCCATCTAATCCTATTCCATCGCTCATTACTATTTTATTTATGTCAGGATCGCTCTCCTGCAGACTCCATTCAGGCCCTTTTCGTGTTTCTGTAGTCCATCTCCTGTCCCAGGTAACCTTTTTATTTTTTTAAAAAAAAGAAAAAAAAAAAAAAACGCGTAAATTCAAATTAGCCTACTTCATTTCTAACTCTCTGTCTTCCTCCTCTCTGAGATAGATAATATTAGCCGTCCACAATGGTATTTATAAATATCACGAACATGCTAGCTATTTCGATTAGCTTATAATTAATTATTTTTCTTGATGCAAATTATAGGTCCTCACCACTGATACCTTAATTTCGAGTAACGGTGAGGATGCAGCTGAAGACCTTGAGCTAGGCTCCGAATTCTACAATCATGATGAAGCTAGCGACGTTGATACGGATCCTGAAGAGCACGACTGTGATGATGGTGGAGACTATTCTTCGGATGTGTCAGATTCCGAGCCAGAAATAGTGTGGGGGCCAGTTGAACCATCCGGTGAAGACAGCACCTATGGGAATGCTCTCGCACCATCTAAAAATAACGTAGAAGAAGTAGAGGATATATCGAGATTGAGTCAAGATAAGGAGGCTCGTGCAATCAGTCTGGCTTCTACAATTGTGTCTGCGCAGCTACAAGAATACTCTTGGATTGAGTCGACGGTCCCAGAGGCTAAGATTAAGGATATTGTTGATGGCCTCAGGATTAAGAAACAGGACTACGATTATTTGCCGCACGTATTCTATGTGGACAAAAGGGACTTTGAACTGTGGAAAGACCGAGATGGCAGCGATCACTTTTTTATTTGGAATAAAGGCAACTCTGAGATAAATGGTAGAAATGAAGACAATGAAGACTCTGAAATCACCAACGACAATGATAGCAAAGGCAAACTGCGTTCATTTCAACTTTATTTCTGCCACTGTGCAGGCGCCCCACGCAAAAAAAAGATTACTGACCAAGATCAACTACTTGAGAGGCCAGCCAAGAAAACTCGCAATGTTTATAAACCGACCAAGAAAGTAGGCTGTAAAGCCAGGCTAATTGTTCATGACGTAAAACCCGATATGGAAGAGTTCGCAAGTAGAGGAGAAAGGAACCAGCTGCGTGTGATATATTACTACAAGCACACTGGGCATACTCTTGCCAGTCTCGAGGACTTTCAGCATCTCAGAGTGACAGAAGAAACAAAATCGCGAATTCGAAACCTTGTCCGTTTAGGTCTCTGTACAAGAAAGATTCTGACAAGGATAAACCTGACTGGTAGCCAGGCATTCTCGCGACACCAAAGAGGGTCTTTAGAGCGTGACCATGTCCTGAAGTATGAGGATGTGTACAATATTTATTATAAATATTCAAGTGGGCAGAGTCAGCTTGAAAAGAATGACTTAGTCTCGATGAGGCTGTGGATGGACAAACTAAAGGACAAGGGCTTCACTGTATTCACACTCGCCTACCACATCATAATAGACGGAGTGAATCATGCAAGATTTGCATATGGGTTTATGTCGCCGTTCCAGAAATCAGTTTATGGATCCAATTTTAAACACATTGGGCTAGATTCAACACATGGAACAAATCGCTCTAAACACGAGCTTTACACCATAATTGTGCGGAACCCACAAAGTCTGAGTGCTATCCCAGTTGCCTTCTTGCTTACGAACGATCATAGCCATGTACCGTTGGCAAGATGGTTGACACATATCAGAGAAACCATTGGCTCACCTGAATACATCACCACTGATGATGCTCGAGCAGAATATAAAGCAATCCGATTGGCGTTTGGAGACTCAGCCACAGTTCATTTATGTCTATGGCATGTTATGAAAGCTTGGAGCACCAAGCTTCGAAGTGTTATCCGTGCAACGCAAGACAAGGCTGCTAAGGAGTTGAGGGAAGAAGCGATGGGAGAGCTCCGTAGAATTTTGTTTGATCCAAACCGTACGCGAGCTGAGACTCTTATTTCAGAATTCGAGTTGAAATGGCAGGATCATAATGAGGGCAAAGTCTGGAATTATTTTAGGGAACGCTACCTCAGTGAAGACCGAAGGAGAAGGTGGATGAAATGTTATCGTATGGGAAAGTTTTATGCTGGGATGGATACTAACAATTACGTCGAGTCCTGGCACAACCACCTTAAGTCGCACTTCTTACGAGGTTATACAAACTGCAGAGGAGATAGATTGATTTATATCTTAACTCATGATGTAGATGAGTTTTACCAAATGATGGCAATGCAGACCGTGCGGCGCTATGGGCGACATTCAAAAGGCGAGAGAGATGACATTCACCAAAGAAAATTTCTAGATGGACTAGAAGACCTTCCACAGCGCATTGTTCACGAGCAGCAAGTGGGTGACCGAACCGTTTACTGTGTGCGCTCGTTCTCCGTATCTGGCGGATATTATTTCGTGGTTGCCACGAATCAAACTATCTCAAGATGTAACTGTCAGTACTTTATGTATTCTCAGCGCCCCTGCAGACATATGTATCTTTTGCATCAAGTTCATAAGGATAACCCAGACCCACCGCTCCACATCATACACGATGTCCTTGAGAGGGTCCCTGATAGACATGCTATGATCCAGAATTACCAAGATGGCCTGGAAGGGGATGTTAACCCAAGCATCAGTGATGCCCTGTTGGAGGTAGAGGATGCTGAAGCAGAGGAGGTTGCTGAGGCAGAGAGGATTGCTGATGCGGTTACTGAATCTTTGGAGATACTCAAAAAGGGCCTCCATGATTCAGATAGCATTGTGAGATGTCCCGACGCAGCAAGGGAGTTAAGTGATATGGTTGAACGGTATTTTTCTTTACAAAGAACGATAAATACATCTGGGAACCAAAAACGGCAGCGCCAATAAAAAAAATTTTTTTTACATGTATATATTTGATTTAAAAACTATTCAATCCAATTCAATCAAAGAGAGCACAATCAAAATAGCCAATCAGAAATCAGGATTTCATTTCTTTTTTTTTTTTTACAGAACGATGAAAAAAGAAAATCCATTCTCTGTTGATGGAGAATATCTACAAGACTGAAAATCATATATTTGGTAGGGAAGACCCATCGGTACGATTTAAAAAAAAGTTGAAAAGATTCGGTTAAGTCTTCAGTAGGATACCTCCATTCAAAGAACTTGTACATCGAAAATAATCAGGATTATGATCATCTTCTTTCGTTCAAAAGTAATATTACTCTGTCAGTAATGGCGATACACATTGTAAAATATAGATTCAAGTAGCCAAAAGCTATATCTATAAGTCGTATATATGCACTCCAAGGAACCAGCAATGCGGTTGTCAAGAAAATGGCCATTGAATTCTCTAAATAGAGTAATATCTGGAATTTATAGTCTCTCCTTCATCTTTAAACAACAAGGATTGTTATTTTTGTAAACTAAGTCGCTGTAAAAATACCACAGTTGGATTCAGCATTGACATGTCCTTTTAACCTGAAAATATGGTGAAGTTTGAAGGTTTTATCATAGAGCTCTACTTTTTTTACTAATTTCAACGAAACATTTTTTTAGACAAGTGTCTACCAAGCTATACTTGGTTTCCAAAGTCAGTTTTTATGTCACTACGGATACTCAATTTCTTCAGAAACTTCAATTGCTACCCTAGATCGCTTTATATTAGTGTCTTTTGTCATTATCCAAAGTTTGGTTTGGATTGAGATTCATTTGAATGACTTTTACATATGAGAACTGGTTTTCCCATATGATTATGGACTTAGAGACAGGTTAGATTGAACTTCCATGTATATTTCGGCTCACATGACCCACATGGCCCACATGACTTGTATGGAAATAACTTTTATTTTTTATAAGGGCGTCTCATATTTGGCCAACTTGAGTATCTAAGGGGACTCCTTATTTGGAGCCAGCAAACCGGTTATTTGTGGCTTTCTACTCCTTAACTAGGGTCACGTGACAAAATTTATTTTAGGTATCTATTTTTAGGGTTTTTGATAAGTAGGATGGGTTTTTTTGTGAAAAAGTGGAAAAAGTGACTGAGAGTGAGAAAGAAGACTGCGGGACAAGTGCTTGTTTCGATCTTTTCTCTTCAGCCTTGTCTTCTTTTTATACTTTTTTCACGCCTCTCGGACTCTCGGGAGAGAGGGTGAACGGTAACCCAAAAAGGAATCATTATCCAAATCGGGTCTCATCCGGAAACTCCTAGATTGTTTCAGATTGAGTCAGTTATGACGTAAGATCTAAAATTAATCTAAGTATAGATTACAAATAATTTATCCGAACGGTTAGACTAAAAAAGGAAGGTCTAAGTCCGAAAAAATCCTAGGATATATGTATCATTTCCGTGGTACGCGTCGACCTAGCAAACAGGTTTATTTGGAGCCAGCAAACCAGTTATTTGTGGCTTTCTACTCCTTAACTAGGGTCACGTGACAAAATTTATTTTTAGGTATCTATTTTTAGGGTCTATTTTTAGGGTTCTATTTTAGGGTTTTTTTAGGGTTATTTTTAGGGTTTTCTTTTAGGGTTATTTTTAGGGTTAGGGTCAAGGAGGGTCAGCTCTGGCCTATACCATGAACCTGAGAAAACTCCTAAAAAATCTAAAGAAAACTTACTAAGTCTAAAAAACCGGACCTATTTTGTCGGGGATGAGGGCTAGTTATAATATAAGATACGGAAGAGATCTCATTGAACTAGTCATCTACAATCGACTCCTTATTGGGGCGGATTGGAGAATCTTTTTATTATAGGTGTTCAACTGGTTGCGCAGGTTGGAGCCTTTATAAATTATCCATGTGGTTTGTGTATTCTCATAACGGGCAGGTTTGAGGGTATGGATATCTCGTAGAATCATACGTCCAAACTGTTCAAGTTTGTCACGTCCAGGGATGTTATGGAGGAACATTTTTTTGATAATAGTATCATTTTTCTGAGACGAGGGTGCCGGGTACAAAAGAGTATTCCGTTCATCGTATGAGTGTAATCTGAGTTGATTGTTGATTACATGTGAGGGGTAGTTTCTATTAAGAAGATGTTGGGCAAATTGTGCTGTGGCATGGGTGTGGAAAGAAGACTGACTAGAGTTTCTAATTAGTCTTTGGTTTTCACCATTAATCCAGTTAAAAACATATTTCCTAGGGTAGTATGTATCTGGATCAGTGTATAGGTGTTTATTAACGGGTTTGTCGAAAGGAGCAATAGTAAATCGGGTTGGACTAGTATTGTTATCGACAGAAATAAGAAGGTCGAGCATAACTACTTGTTGACCATTGTTACCATGGTCGATAGTGATATTAAGACTTTGACAAGAGGCATAAATCTGATGAAGTTTAATGTCAATGTATGGTTTCAAAAGATTGAATGTCTCTTTAGACCAGGGAAGGTTATCATGTTTGGTAGTTCTGATTATGGCAAAGCCATCATCTATATACCGGAACAGGGTGATGTCAAAGAAATCGAGTTTATAGAAAAACATTGGGGAATTAGTGCCAACTGGAAGGTTGTCAGGAAAAACTCCATGGAATTGTTGTTGTTTCTCTACGCAGCATGCAAAGAGGCGGGCTATGGTGGGTGCCATGGGAGTTCCCATAGCTAAGCCTTTGACTTGTCTGTAATTATTTGTAAGGTCAGAGACAAGGCAGTTCTTATTAACCCATTCTGCGAGTTTCAGACATATTTGGATTTCATAATTGTAAGAATGATTGCAGAAGTAGTGTAGTATGGTTTTTCTGGCTTCTTCAAAGTCGATGTTACCATACATGTTGATGACGTCGAAAGCTGCTAATGAGTAATGGCAGTAAGGATCAAAGTCAAAATTTTCTAGATAACGTATTAGTGTGGGGGTGTCGGGAAGATCTCTAGGGAACTCATTAAGTAGAGGGCGCAGGTTTCTATCGACAAACTGACTAATAGTGTGTGTTATCCAAGGGAAAGAGGGGACTATAGGTCTAGCACCGGGTGGTGACTTATGTATTTTAGGTAAAAGATACATAACTGGGACAGTATAGAAGTTAGGATTGGTTCTAACATTATCTCTTATTAGTTTAGCTTCTGAGAGTAATTTATTTTTAATTCTAAGAGGACTAAGATTGACTATAGAAAAGAGTGAGTTTATCATATTGTCAATGGAGAACGAAGGGCACGGGACATAACAGGAAGTATCTGTTAGAAGTTTCGTAGTCTGGGATGTATACCAGTCTAGGTCCATAATAGTGAGTCCTAAGTTTTTATCAGCAGGGCCAATGATAAGTTTATGGGTAAGCATAAAGTTAATGGTCTTGTTGATTTTGGAAAGGAGTTTTTTGTGAGGATTGTTTTCTCTGATTTTAGTTATATTATTAATTAACTGAGGTTTGTAGGCATCGAACAGAACATTAGCTAGATTAATATCTAGTTTATTAATATTCCTACAAAGTTGGTTACGCAATTTCTTTAGTTCTGAGCTCAGAACAACATAGTTGGGAGGTTTATGTATATTGAAATTGACTCCTTTATTTAAGACTTGAAGAATATCATGGGGGATGGATTGTACGGAAGACATATTGTTGACTCCGACAAAATCATGTAAATCTACTTTTTTTGTTTCTGAGGGGATGGGGCTTTTTTCACGGGGCCTTTTCCTTTCTTTACATGGGTGGTTTTCTTGGAGGACGTTGGGGGACCACCTTTCTTCTTGTCTTTCTTCGCCATCGATGGGCCTTTTGGTCCTTTGTATTTGTTGGTGTCGTTCTGTCGACGTGATGGCTTGGGTTTGCTTGGCTTCTTCTTCGAGGCGTCCTTCTTGGTATTCTAGAGGGAAAGTAGAGTTGATCTTAGAATAGATTATATTTAATCGTGGAGCAAACCAAAGGGAAACAATTATCTTGAATACCTTTAATCCAAGATTTAATTGCTGGAATTCTGCAGTGGCTCGTAATACTTGCACTTGAGCAGAAAACTCAATAGCAGTGGCACGAATCAGCTTGTAGGTGAAGTCTTTACCCAGATTATTCAGATGAGAATTGTTTTCAACGGCCACAAGGGCAGATGAAAGGGTGTCCGCTAGCTGTCTGGGGAGGGTGTCATTGAGTTCACTTTGGCATTGTTGGATGATATTTGCTTTGTCAGCTTTAATGGCCGATACTAACAAATTGTCAAACGAAGTGCTAAGTGTAGCAAGGACGTCCTTTGACAGGGTAACACGGTTATTGTTGACAGTAAGATGTCCCCAATAGCCTAGTTGTGTCTTAGCGTTGACTTCACGCAGAATCTTCTGAGCCATTCGGATTTTATCCAAAAGAATGGCCGCCTTATTGACAAATTTGCTTAAGATGTCTGCGGCAACCCTGTCAGTCATCGTTCCCTTTTTGAAAGAGGGAAGATAGGAACCAGGGTTCAGAGAGGTGTCACTATTCCCAATATGATTATTGAGACGAGCGACGAGCTGCTCGAGGGTGGGAAGGTCTGCCGGTGCAGTCCCTCCTCCCATCTCGGCATCGGCATCGATCATAGCCTGACCTGGAACTTGTTGACCTGGGGTGACTTGGAAGACATCCTGGTTTCCACGGGCAGAGCTTGACGATGAGGAGGGGCCGGGGGCAGCGTGAGTATTGACCATCTTGAGAGGAACTTGAGGGTTTTTGATAAGTAGGATGGGTTTTTTTGTGAAAAAGTGGAAAAAGTGACTGAGAGTGAGAAAGAAGACTGCGGGACAAGTGCTTGTTTCGATCTTTTCTCTTCAGCCTTGTCTTCTTTTTATACTTTTTTCACGCCTCTCGGACTCTCGGGAGAGAGGGTGAACGGTAACCCAAAAAGGAATCATTATCCAAATCGGGTCTCATCCGGAAACTCCTAGATTGTTTCAGATTGAGTCAGTTATGACGTAAGATCTAAAATTAATCTAAGTATAGATTACAAATAATTTATCCGAACGGTTAGACTAAAAAAGGAAGGTCTAAGTCCGAAAAAATCCTAGGATATATGTATCATTTCCGTGGTACGCGTCGACCTAGCAAACAGGTTTATTTGGAGCCAGCAAACCAGTTATTTGTGGCTTTCTACTCCTTAACTAGGGTCACGTGACAAAATTTATTTTTAGGTATCTATTTTTAGGGTCTATTTTTAGGGTTCTATTTTAGGGTTTTTTTAGGGTTATTTTTAGGGTTTTTTTTAGGGTTTTTTAGGGTTTTTTAGGGTTTTTTAGGGTTTTTTAGGGTTTTTTAGGGTTTTTTTAGGGTTTTTTAGGGTTTTTTAGGGTTTTTTAGGGTTTTTTAGGGTTTTTTAGGGTTTTTTAGGGTTTTTTTAGGGTTTTTTAGGGTTTTTTTAGGGTTTTTTAGGGTTTTTTAGGGTTTTTTAGGGTTTTTTAGGGTTTTTTTAGGGTTTTTTAGGGTTTTTTAGGGTTTTTTAGGGTTTTTTAGGGTTTTTTAGGGTTTTTTTAGGGTTTTTTAGGGTTTTTTAGGGTTTTTTAGGGTTTTTTAGGGTTTTTTAGGGTTTTTTAGGGTTTTTTAGGGTTTTTTAGGGTTTTTTAGGGTTTTTTAGGGTTTTTTAGGGTTTTTTTAGGGTTTTTTAGGGTTTTTTAGGGTTTTTTAGGGTTTTTTAGGGTTTTTTAGGGTTTTTTAGGGTTTTTTAGGGTTTTTTAGGGTTTTTTAGGGTTTTTTAGGGTTTTTTAGGGTTTTTTAGGGTTTTTTAGGGTTTTTTAGGGTTTTTTAGGGTTTTTTTAGGGTTTTTTAGGGTTTTTTAGGGTTTTTTAGGGTTTTTTAGGGTTTTTTAGGGTTTTTTAGG